CACTGTCTTTTTTATTTTTCTTTTTGGCGGCTGGCCAGTACAGGGATCCAAACCCTTGACCATGGTGTTATGACACCATGCTTTAACCAACTAAGACTTTGTGCCTATACCATGAGTTATCACAATGCCAGTGTGCTCCTTTGCTGAAAGCCATTCCAAAATTATTACTTACTTTCAGAACAAAGACTTAGTTTAGAATTAAATTCAACAGATTACAAAATCTAGAGTTTATTTAAGATGAGAGTACAAAACCTACAGGAAGAGAAAAAGTACAACATGGCGTATGTTTCCAGGCCAATCTCTGGTATGCACGGCACACTCTGAGTGCTGGTGAGCAACAATCACCAGCGGACGTGGGTGTGGCTCAGTTACAACTTGCTGCACTGCTGAAAGCACTGTCTGTACATCACCCCGTTTAATACTCACAAAAGCCATAAGGGTGTGTACTGCCCCTTCCTGCTGTCTTACAGACGAGAGAACGGAAGCACAGGGATGCTGAGAGTCACACTCTCCCCCATCCCAGCTCCTAGAAAGACAACTTTCCTCCACGGACTGGGAGTCCCCTGGGACTGTTTTCAAAGTTTCACACTTGCTCTAAGTCCTCCAGAANCGGACTGGGAGTCCCCTGGGACTGTTTTCAAAGTTTCACACTTGCTCTAAGTCCTCCAGAAAGAATGGTTTCACGAAGGCTTTAGGTTAATCCTTCAGAAGATAATGTATTTGTATAGCTAGATACTACATTTAATAAATAAACATGAGTTAACAATTAGGCACAATGGAAAACGGTTCACTTAGATGGAGAAATAATAAAAAACTTACTTCTTTTGAAGTTTACGATTTTTTTCAGCCTGTCCTCCCAATTTGCTCAGTGCCAAGGCATCTTGAGATGCATTATCTGTCTCTGAAACACCAGCTATGAGGAAGCAGAACAGCCCCCAAATTGAAAGTAAATCAATATGGCAAAGTTATATCCTTTCATAAATAGGTGGATGGGTATTTGCAGGTACAGAATTAAATAATTTCTAAAGACTGTTTCTGACTAGACAACCAAACACACAAAAATGCCTGAGACAGTAAAGCTGTTATCTCTACA